TGACTTCGAATTTCTTCTTCAGAAATAAATTCCGAACCAGATTCAAATGCGTCATTATCAGCACCAATAGCTGCTGCTGTCACATAAGGATTTATATCACCATAAAAGTCATCTTGAACTATACGACGTTCATGAATATCTCGAAATGTAACTTCATTTCCATCATGTATAGCATAAGGAGGAACTGGTGGTAATGGAGCTGTTGCAAAATGTTGATCTTTTCCGACATATATATTTTGTCGACCTTTAGCACTACCCGAACCAAAAAATCGCTCACGGTATGATTTACGCTAAATAGAAAGACAAGCAAAAAAGAGGAATTTTTCGACGAGATAAGAAAAAAAAAGAGAAAGAAAGAAAATAATCACATCAGCTGCATATTTTCTTTGTCGACACCATCGACAACAGTACCGTAAAAGATATAAAAGTAGTAACAACCAACAACAAATTAAGGCTAAGAGAGCCCAAATAGCTAAAGCAGTATTGAGCCACCATGGATAAGGAGTACTAAATAAAAACTTCTATCATCATTTTTTTAGTAAAATATTTTCAAATAAGGAAAAAAAAATTTTTCTTATACAATTTACTTACGTTGCTATACCACTATAAGCTGGCAATGGTAGTAAACCTTGGTCTGGTGTCACAATATTACCCATGATTTTGTATAAAAAGAATGTCTGCTCAGCATGTATATATTGTCATCGTCCTTTTTCTTTTTTTTTCCATTCTTTTGAATTATTCTTACCAACGCAAGATCAAACGAGTTTTTGATTAGGTAATAGAAAATTAATCTTTGTATAATGTACTTTCTCTTATGTCTTTGTTCGTTTACATCTGAAGAAATTTCATATTATTTATCAATTAATATTTGTTCTTATGATGTAGAATATTTTTCATTTGATAGAGATTTATATTACTCATAGAATAAAATCTGAAAATGATATTTATGAGAATATTAAATTAACTTTTTGAACAAAAAAGAAAACTTTTAATTATATAAAATTAATTATTTCAATGACAAGTGTATTAGGTTATAACTTTTTTCTTCATGTTTTCCTTTTACATTAAATATCATATGGTCCTCTCGGATATACATTTGACATTGAAGCATCAATATTTGAAAATGGTGGATAATTTTGTGGTGTATTCCAAACATTTTGTACAGCTTGATATCTGTTTCTATCATATAACAATTCCGAATCTTCTTCAACAAATCGGCATGCTGATACGACTTCACCAAAACTGCGTCGTTCAGTTGGATGAGTACTATGAATAGTCGTACTAGGTATTGGTATTGATTCTGGATAACAAAACGATTCAGGCGAAAATCGTTCATAGGGAAATAATGATATACCACTTCTAGAAAGAGCAACATTAATATGACGAATGTCATCAAGTAAAAGTGTTGGAGTAGATCTTGAAGGATAATCAATTAAATAAGGATTACTACTTGGATAAAATTCTTGAGGGGGTGGTGATGCTACAGCGGAACTATAACCATAATCATTTACAGAAATATTCGGTGGAATATCATATCGTGTAATTTGACTTGTAATACCTATTTGACGTCGTTCACGTTCCAAACATTCACGTAAACATTGTTCCAATTGTGAAAAAGTACCGATACCCAAATAAGAAACTGGTCCGCCATGTGAAGGAACTGTTTCAAATATACTTTCATTTATTCTTGGTATTCCTGATTGTTGTGTAAATGTTGATGGAATAAGTTGATTTGTGTCGATAGTTGGATCAGTGATTCGAACATTGACACCGCTTGAACTTATTGGTTTCGATGAAGACGTTGGTGTTGTTATTTCACTAGCAATACGTCGTGCATAAGTATTTTGCTGTTCCGGATTGACACGGCGTAAAGCTGGTCTTGGAATTGTTCTATCATCAGATCCATCTAATATATTAGTACTACCGCTAATAGGTCTTATTGTTGATTGATAAGGTTCGGTTCTTGGTATTGTTGTACTTCCTGATGTTGCTGTTGTTATTGGTTGAGTAGTGGATGCTGATGGTAGTGGTGGAGCAGGTGGTACTGATGGATCTATGTATACATATTCAAAGAACATATTTAATATTTATTTTGAAAAATATTTAATTAAAATATACTTAATGGACCAGTTGGTCTTGTATAAGCATAATCACCCCTTGGTCGATTTGGAAAACGAATTTTTAATGCAGACAAATATGGATCTTCATTACGTGGAGGTGGTCGATAAGTTCTTTCTTGTTCATCCATATCGTCTGGTGCTGTTCCATACTCATCATCTTGTCTTTCATTTTCTCCAGTAATTGATGAACGTTGTTGATAAGGACGGCCATTTGCTCTTGATGCGATTCCAGTACCATATGAATCAGTTTGTGATGTAGTCGGCGAACGTGTTGATTGTCGTTCGGCACTTAACATGAGCGTATATCTAACTAAGTAAAATGAATTTGATTTTAATTTTAATTTAAACACGCGATACTGATGGAGAAAGACCTTGACAATAACAAAAGCCTTGCTCTTTTTCTTTTTTTAGGGTTTTTTTTTCTCGTGAAGTTACCACGTATAGTGTGTTGTTGTCTTACGATCGATGGCGACGGCCCTGTGTGGTTTTGATGATAGTAACGATCGTATATACAGCTACTAAGAAAAGAACGACCATGGAATAGGTGAGCAATGAAAGAAAAATTTTGTTGATACGCATCAAAGCGTTCTATTCCTTTTTCTCTCTCTTTACTTCAAGTGAATATTAATACAAAACATCGACCTTCATCTCTATAAATAAGAAACACGTGTATCAATATGATTAGTCATTTATTAATCAATATATTTTTCTTTTTAATATATTATTATAAAAAAAGGTCATGTATCATGTTCTGATATTTTGCAAAAAAATAAAGTAGATATTTTAATATTTTTTCATTACGTCATGTATCCAATCAATATCGACTGAAATTGATGCAAATGCATTATCATGATTAACATTTTGTGAACATTCATCAAGACCAAAACTTGCGACACCAAATAGATGCCATTTCCATATGGTCTTATTATTAGTTGATTTAATACCAGCATTGACCATTAAACCAGTACCTGAATCTCCACTACAAATATTATTTCCACGTTCATTTCTTCCACATATATGTAATTTTTTATCAACCATTAAATTACGACATGAACGTGGTGATATTCGAATTCTTGCTTTTCGTGGTAGATTAACAACTGTTGAATCAGGTGATGAATGTCCCCAACCAGCTGTAAATGCTAATGTACCATCATTTAATTTATCTGTAGATTCTGGTAAACAAGCTATATTAATTGAACGTGATAATGGTACGGATCTAGCTAATTTAATTAATGCTAGATCATGAATAGGTGCTGGTGATATTCGACTAATACGAAATTTTGGATGAATTAAATATAAAACTGGTTGTTGTATATATTCAGTTTGACTTGTACGTAATCGATCATAATGTCCCATAAAAAGATTAATACCCTCAGCTGGATATAGACGATTTGTTTTAGTATCAAACATACAATGAGCAGCAGTTATTATCCATTGCGGATGAATAAGTGTACCACCACAAAGTGTAACTGTATGTGAATAAGTACTTGAACGACTTTCTATACGAACCTTGAACAAAAAAGAATATTAATATAAATATAAATCAGAGAAAATTTTTCATTGAAATTAAAAAATAAATTGTAATACTTACAAGCCATGGATATTCAGCTGGACGTAAAGTATTTTTAACACTTGTACTTATTTTTAATTGTAATGCTCTTTTTTTTAATAAACGATCATTTTGAGCTACACCACATTTATTTAAATCATAATCTTCTGTTGGTTCATTATAATCTTCTAAATCAGTATTATTTATTATTGAAATACAATTATGTCCTCCACATGGTTCAACAATCATTCGACGTCCTCCAGTCATTGTATAAAAAGTAAAACAATTACGACAAGAAAGTGTATACTAAATATGTGTGTCAATTAAAACATAGAATAAAATTAAAAAAAGTTTATTACAATTTTTTCTCTTGATAATGATGATTGAAGTGGAATATGAATAATATCATGAGAATTATCAAAGAATGGTATTCGTATTGACCATGATGATTGACTAGATGCCTATTTAATACAATAACAAGCTGTTAGTATCATCATCTTTGCAGAATTAAATGTATTATATCATGTTCGAAAAAAACAATAGATAGTTTTAAAAAAAATATTGTATTAGAAAGATCATTGAAAATGAAATAAATCATATATATTTTTGTTTTACAATAGCTATTTATAAGAGGATTTTTTTTTTAATATTAATTAAAATTTTATTCATGATTAAGACAAGTTCTAAAATTTATGATTAAAACTCAGTTTTCTTAATTATTAATAGAGTATTGATTCAATTTCAATTAGCGATTAAAGAAATATTTTGACTTTAATTTTAAGTGCTATTGAAAAATACATCATTTGTCTCTTTTGTTTTCACAGAAAATACCGAAAGTAAAAAGTATGTCAAACTATTGTAATCCACTTTACATACTTCAACACTTCTTTTAGATCGTGTTTCATAATATTAAATAAATTCATCTAAATTTAAACTTACACAATAATTAAATATAATAAATACTATGAAATATTGCATTGTATCTATTCGTGTGCGTTTATATGTAAAGTATTGTCTAGAAAATAAAAAAAAAAACCAGATCTACTCTTTTTTTTCCTCATATTTTATATTACACATCTTTCTCGTTCATACAAAAAGAAAGATGAGTGCATACGTAATTCAATGCTCTGTTTGTTTTTCAATTAAGAAACAAAAAGAAAAAAAAATTCATCTTATCATTTTCTTCTGTTTACTCTTTCCAGACAAATGAGACGTCAAAACAAAAATGTAAGACCTTCAACGAATAGATAAAGTGACAGTTTTGTATTAAAAAAAAAAAGTCTATTCAATTCAACATGAAATACTTCATAATTGAATCAAATTTTTTTTTATCATAATTAATTAGATGATTACCAGTATCGAAAATATTCATCATATTTCCCAAGAGAAAAAAAGTTCCAAACAATTGAAGAAAAGAAAATGTTAGAAGAAAATAACTTTCTATTGTTTGAATCTCAAGTGATACATAATCAATATAGATTTTGAAAATAATAATTTATCAATTGTATAACTTTGAAAAATATTTTCAATAGTAGCCATACAAGATATTAAAATAGAAACGTATGATGAGAACAATCGATTAAAATAAATACATTGAAAAGTTCAGTAAAACATTTTATTAAACTTTACTTTTACAACAATTAACTAAACATGAATTATAATTTTATGCATAAAATATCTTATTATTGAATAGTGAAGTAAATTGATACATATCTTTGCAAGTATTATGTTCAAATAAGAGCATCATCAATGATTGAATGGTTTTGAACAGGTCATCAACAACTGTTTACCTCAGATTATTTATCCGATAGCAGCATGTTGACGAAAAAAAAATTTGAGTCTGACTGATATTTTGTCCAGAATTGCTGTTAGTAATTTGTTATAGAAAAAAATATTAGGTAAATGAAAATATCTAACATTAGTTTTCTATATAGCAAGCGAGCCGAAGGACTGATGAAATGAAAAAAAAAAAAGAAATATTTCGTAATTGATAATTAAATTTTCCCATGTATTAAGTTAAGATATGAGAGAAAATAATACTAATATTTGATTGATTTAAACACATTCACTATACATACATCCGGTAGATATGTCAATGTTTATATTCCTTGGATTTCTATTCTTCAAGAAACACGAATACATTTTAAAATACTTCAAATGATGGTTTTTCAAAGATTCAAAAAGGTGAACTCGAATTTCCAAGTCAAAGCAAAGTGCATCTGAAAAGGGCATAATTCAATAACCTATTATCCAAAATTTTAAACCAACAGAATACACTATAAAAAATGATGATAGAGGAAAATATTTTAGTGCAGTAGTGCTGGTGGTGTTGCAAACAAGATCTTTAATTGCATGTTTTCCTGTTTAAACGATTGAAATTTTTATTAAACTAAAACAATGGATAATAGACTTTTTGTTATACTCTTTTTAGATGCACAAGGTTTCGATCCCAAAGTGCCGGTTCAGATTTTCAGTTCTCTGGAACATAAAAAAATCTCGGAACTAAACCTAGAGGTTTCAGTCGCTAATTCCGTTTTTCTAGAAACAAGGATCCAAAAATATATATTGTGTTCCTCGGTACATTATCTAAAACTGACACACATAACAGTATCATCTCATAGTGTTTATGTTGATTATACGACGGTTGTAGCAAATCAATTCATCATTATCCATTATTGTTGACTTCTCGAATAGAGATTTTGGTTTTTGTGAACATAAAAAATTACAGTATTTAGAATATTCATAAACGTATTTTTAGCAATTCAGAGATTAAATTAGACTTTAGAATATTCTAGAACAGGCTAAGTTTTGTTATTAATGCCGTTCGCCGTCTTTTTCCTCTGCTACAGAACTCTGAAAAAAAAACGGTTTAATGTCTGTTGTCATTGGTTTCTATTGAAAGGTATCCAATTACCGTTGACATTTATTTTTCCCTCGTTGCTAGGAGTCTACGAAGGATGAATTCACGAAAACGTCGACTATTTTTCTTCGAAGAACATAATGCGAGTATCAAAAAGAAAATTTCTAGAAATAAGATAGTAACTTAATCAAGTCTATTACAAATATTTTTATTTCTATCTATCAGCATAACAAGAAAAAAAAAGATTTTGAAATCAAAGCATAGATATCCTATAATGAAAAGGAATAATGAATTTAGAAAAAGTAAAATTATAAAAGAGAAAAAAAACTAATTGTCATTGGAAGATTTTAATTTTTTCATTTCTTCTTCAATAATTATTGATGATTGATTTTTCTTTTCGTTTTTTGAGTTTACATATAAAATCCAAACTTGAATTAAATGTCCACTCATAATAATACAAAGAAATAAAATAATTGCCCAACCCTATGAATATTAAATATTCATATTGATTTTTTGTTAAATACAAATAATTAAAATATTTACTCGCCAAATATGTCTCGGATCAGTTGCTAGAAGTATTAAAGCATATGTAGCAAAACTAATGATTCCTGCTGTTGTCCACATAATTCCAAGAAGTGATCCAATAAATTGAGGTGGAAAACTTTCAAAATAAAATTATCAATAGAACAAAAAAAAAAGAAAATAATCAAATGAAAAACATTAAAGTTTATTTTTTACACAGTAGCAATTAATGCTTGACTTCCAGCCACAAGCATTGTACGTGAAAAAATTAAAATAATCAAAGCTATTATAGCTGCATAAATCGATTGAAACATACAAACAATACAAAGAGCTACAGAACCAATCCAAGTTAATGTTTGTAAAATTGAAATATTAAACATTTTTTGTTTATAACCTTAATAAATAAATAAAAAAAGCAGAGTATGAAATTCTAAGAAATTATCAAAATAACTTTAACAAACCAAGATCAGATTTAAAATCAATAATAAAACCACATATTGGTGCAACGAGAATTCCCAAAATAGCAATCATATTGTACCAGCGTGTATAATGATTGGCTATGAAATAATAAAATGATGAAAAATAATTTCACAACAATACAGTTTTAATTTTTTTTTCTAATCCATCTTTACATATGATGTCTAACTGGTTTTTATCCACTTCTAAGTCATTGAAGAAATCAAAAGTCAATCAAAATATCATATTTTTTCTTACTATTTATTAAGAATGTTTTTTTTTTCTGACATAAATTTAGTTCATTAAGAACAAATTTTTGATGGAGATTAGAATCACTTTTGTAAATTGTTCTACAATCTAATGTATAAAATTCTGTACACACACGCCGTTCTCTGCTACTATCAAAAGTTCGCTTTTTGTGGACTAACTTTAAACTAGAAACAAAAATTCTGAATATACAGTTATAAAGAATATGAAATTCTGATAGAAGATGAAAATCGATCAATTATCTTGTGCAAAGAGTTTTTACATATAGATTATAATGTTAAAACAACTAGCTCAAATCTAGCTAATAGTTTTAATAACCAATGGAGTTTTCTATCTGATACATTCTGTACTAGATGAATTATGATGACGAAGTTTCAAAAAAAAAAATGGACATGCCAAAGAAATGAAGGACGTTTGTAAAACTCTAGAAAATGATAGGAACTTGGTAGCAGCAATCCAGTTTCTGCCAGAACCGACCGCTACAATCATTGATCTGAGATGATATCATATTAAAGAGCACAAACTTCTGAACATAATGAGAAGTCATCATATTTTCTACGACCTTCTCTTGAAAGCTGAAAAGTATCACAACAACCATAAGAAACGAAATTTATTAAAAATCGACTAAAAAATGTCATTTTTTTTTCTATTTTTAAAATGCTTTTAAATTTTTAAAGGAAGGTCGTAGAAAATACAGTGCCTTTTCATTGTGTTCAAAGTTTTATATTCTTTAAAATGACATTATTGAAAAGAATAGTTTCTACGATTTGAAAACTATCGTGTCTAATTTGTTCTTAAAAATCTGATCATCATCATCATCATCATTCATCTAGTAGTATAGAGCGCATTAGATAATAAACTTCATTGATAATTAAACTCATTAGCTAAATTCAAACTAGTTATTTAACAATTTAGAAAAAATAAATAAATATGTATCAATTAAACTTACTTAATTGTGTATTATTTCCAGTTACATGCATAAGCCATTTAAACCAAACAACTGGAAGATATGATATTGTAAGCAATAGACAACTGAGAAAAAGTGTTACAACAATAAATAATGGATTTTTTAAATATTGAATTAAAGTATCATGTGTAGTAATTGTTTTAACTATGTATATATATTTACATAAAATTAAATTTATATCTTTAAACAATTTATAAACCTTCTATTTTTGTTGACTTTGATTTCAAGGTTAAATTCATACAAGTGAAACGCCAATCAAGAAATAGCATAGCACTACCAAACATCAATATTGCAAGTGATGCCCATATAAAGGCCAATGTCGATAGAGAAATCAGTTGTTTTTCAATCAAAAGCTATAAAATAAAAGAAATCTAATAATAATAAATACAAAAAATGTCATTTCTTGCTTGAAATATTGCATACCAAATTGAACCAGTAAGTTGCGCACCTGATATCAATGCTCTAAAATAAAATTCAATTTATTTTTTTTTTTATTTTTGATATTATAATTAATACTTACGTAACAAGACCACGATGTTGACTAAAATTAGCCGATATAGAAAATGATGAAAGTAAAGTACAAATTCCAGCTAAAGATAAAAATATCGTATGGAATAGAAGAAGCCAATCACGTTCTAATATAAATATTTAATCAAAATTAAATATTTCTTAATAATTTATTACTAGGTTCTACGAATCCAAGTGATAACCAACTGATCAGATGAAAAATACTATTAAAATCATTTTTTTTCAAATAAAAATCAACATTTAGAATTTAATTTAAAAGAAAAAAATTTTACATTGCAATTAATTTTAGACATCGAGGTCCAAAATAATCATTAATCATACCAACTATGATAGCTGGTAAATTATAAAATGCAATACCCAGAGCAAAATCAAACTGAAATCAATTAAAAATCTATAAGTTTTCTTTTTTTTTTAATCTATATCTAAACAGACTTCATAGTTCTGTATTTGCCCGACACATGCTTTTTCTTGTGTCTTTGTATTATTTAATACAATTCGTTCAGATACGTTTCCACATTTCGATTGATAAATTTTATATTTTGGTAATTCACTGAATAATGAGGCAAATCCAAAGATACTATAATAATTATTCAATAAATCTTTTCTCATAATAAAAAAATAAATACCTACTTTCCAGCAACAAGATTACATTCAATTAGAATCCAAATCAGTCCAATTATTTTCAAATAAGATTTATCTTTTTTCTAAATTAACTTAAATTTATTTAAAATATAACATAAAAATCTTACATACATTATTCATTATAAATTGATCTTTTGTTAAATATCTAAGTCACGTACTGTAGAAAGAGTGAGATAAAATGGAATGGAATCCATTTCTTTTTCTTGAAGTAATAATATTATTCATTATCGAAGAGCGGAATAAACAGAAAACAAAAAACAACTATGGTCTGTATTTTTCTCGTGACTTTAAATTATTATTACTATGCATTGTTACCAAGAAACGGACCACAGAACAGTGAAATAAATCACATACATCATCAGGAAAAAAAAATAAGAACGATATGAAAAAAAAATCAAGAACAAACAAATAGTTCCGTTGTTTGTTAGCGTCGTTCTTTACACAAAGAAGAAAAAAAAACAAAAAAAAGTTGGATCTATCGTCATTTTCATCAAATAACTAACAAAACATAGATTCTGATTGATCTTAATAAATCGATCGTGTTTTATTCAAGAAAATTGTTGAAAAAAAAATATTATAAAACTTATTTTATTTTTTTTTTTGCATTTTATATTAGTTCAAATATTGAAAAATTATTCATTCAGAAAAGATTATATTAACTCATAAGTAGAAAAAAAAATGTCATGGTGTTTATTTATAGTAACACTCAATAATGCAATATAAAACTGCAGTTATATAGAATAGAAGAGACTCTGTAACTTTTTATGAGTTGTCATATTATAACGAAAGTGTCATGAATCGATTTATGAAGAAATAACTTTTCGATGGACAAAAAAAAAAAACAAATATTGTCATGTCATTGTTCAGTTCGATTTGTCTCAGAATTAAAAAAGAAAAATATTAACATAGATAATATTATTACAATTGATAACATGCATATGTATTAAGTTAACTGATGGCAGATGAGAATAATAATGAATCATATAAGATTTATGACATACAATTCATTCATTTGAATAACAGTATAAAATTAAAATCAACTTTTTTTTATACACAACAAAATAATGAATATGATTTTGAAACTAGACAAAAAGTCTTCATTCTCAATGATTTTATGATATATATATATATATATATTAGCATAATTTTTGGTTTGAATCGAATTAGGAAAACCTATTTATTTAATCAGTTATTTTCTCAAAAAAATATATTATCATTTGAAACTTCTGGTCGTCTCGTCATCAATCGTGAACATGTTTTCTTTCATCAGTATTTCTCATGTTAGTAAATTCGTTAAAAAATTTCTGATAAATGAAAACATTTTTTTTTTTATTGCATGCAAAAACTGTCTACACGAATACTTTCAAAAGTAATTTTTTCTTAATATTTATATCATGTTTTATTTACTGTTCATCATTAATAACATCATCATCTGTAGTGAAATATATTTTTTTTTTGTGAGTGTGAGTTTGACTGTTCTTCCACTCTTCGCCCACATGCTTCACTATTGGAGTACGGAAACAAAATGAATCTATTTAAAACTTTATTATTGCAACTAAAAAAAAAGTTGTTCGCGCAATCCCTATGGAAATAAAATGCTTAAGACGATCTAGCTGCTTTTACTAATTACAAGATGATTGCTTTTTGTTATCTATTTTGGGATACACGTCTTCATCATCTTTTTAATTAATTCTCGAAAAACGCCATAAGGAAGTATGTCACAAATTATAACGAGACGTTATTCTTATACGATCTTTGATTGTATATCAACAATTTCTTCCATAGTCTGTGATAGAAAGAAAAGATGTTCCTCCAGCGTGTAGTTTTGTTCTACAATGAGTTTCTGGGATGTCTGCTACAATTTATGATGGTCAACATTTATATCCTGTATACTTCAACACTCTTTTCAGTTCATATGTCACAAAATTGGTCTTGCCCCGTCTATAATATCCTACGAAAGTCTTGTCAGTATCATATCCAACAAAATAAACTATATCAGTATTTTATGACAACTATTGGAAATTTATGTATTTTAAGATAAAATATTTATCGAATATCTAATTAACCATTTGATTTTGCTGTTCAGATAGCGAGCTAGATTTCATATATAATATCGTAATAGTCCTTCCAAGATGATATTCACTGAAAAAAAAGGTACTGGAAACAAAAAAAAACACTTAATTCTCCATATCTTGAATCAATAGATATTAGAAAGTGTTAGCAATTCGAAGAAATCCAATTGTTAAACACTTTTGTAATCGTTATTTCAAAAGTAAAATTAGAGAAAAAAACATGAGATATTGACTTATATTTAATATTCAAATTTTTGATGATGAATTACTTTTAAATATAGATCGTTGATTAACAACAAGCAAATGTGTAATTGTCAAAAATAAGAAATGAATAAATAAGTTAGAACGAATGCATCTGTCTCAACAAATAATATATGATTATATGACAAAATTAACTCTGACATATATCAACTAAACTTCATTGAAAGATTCTATATTGCTAAACTATGTAGTACTATTTTTATCTTCAAGAATGCAAGAACAAAAACCGCTTGACATTTATGATATTCATATTATTTTTGATAAAAAAAATACTGCGTAGAAATAAACTGATTATATGGGCAACATTTTTTAAAAGCCTCGCTATTAATAGCGTTGTTTTTCTTTTAATATATCTTCAACAACATTCGTTGATTTTCTACAATGAATTTATTCAGTTGACGTCTTATGTTTTGAATATAAATTTGTCATAGATCAGACTTCTGCTGCAACAATAGCAAAATTTCCTAAAAAAACAAAAATTATTATCTATTCTAAAGTAAAACTTATTAAAACGAATAAACATTTAAGTGTATATTCTCTCTCTTTCCAAACTTGAAAAGTACACTGTTTTTTGGGTATGTATATTTTTGATCACCAAAAAAAGGTACAAGTGATCACCAAATTTTTTTCTTGCGAAATGAGCATCAAAAAATATACATTTGATCACCAAATTTATTATGAATAAATAAATAGAACAAGAATAGCAATTATTACACTAATGAACGTACTCAAGACAAAATTAACAAGCAATATAAAGTTTATATTTAATTATGGTAATAATGCCGTACGAATTTCTTTTGATCGGCCTGCAGTTTTTCATTTTTCCAATGGAATAAGACGAATTTCATCTTTAATATTGTAAACGTTGAATATAATTACCAATCCAACAGGATGCTTGCACCTGTATTGTTTGAGACCGATGGGACACGTACAAGAACCAAGTGATGACACCAACCAACACGATGATTTCCATGCAACAAAATGATCAAATGATGTCCATTGGCTCGACTTATGAATACCTAACCAAATTGATGTTGACATAACGCTTTGAGAAGAAGGAACTATGTAAAAATTATTGAAAAAAAAAAACAAAATATCAAATTGATTAACATTTAAAGACCATTTAAATGCATGTCGCTCCATTTCAGAAGTTATATCAGGTATATTAGCGTATGGAGCTGAAATACTTGCCTACGACCAATCTAATAACATCTCTTCTACCTTCGGTAGAAAAGCAGATAAAGGTAATTTGTTCCGTAACGTGTACTTCTGTTTAATAATTGCATTAAGTGACTCAAGACCATTGTTGGTGGATAGTTTGCCATGTGCTGCTCCTTCATACCTGTCCAAGAGAATGATTCCTTTTTTAATTTTTATTAAAGTATTTTTCTTACCAGTAGCGTAATTTTGAAATCCATTGTTCCGTAAAATAATCAACAAATATTTTCATTGATGGAATTTGGCTTCATTTCTGTAATAATAAATGAACGCCAAGATCAAATATATCATCGGAGAAGGCCAATTGAAGTTCATGGATATCTTTGTCGATAATTAGCCAATCATTTTTTGTAACTAAATTACGATGATTGCTGCATTTTCTGATCATATGACTCCAGCACATCAAACGGCGACTATTTGGAAATATTGCGTTTTGGGCACTTGTAAGTGCTAAATAAAACTATAGTTCGTAATTATTTAACTAATGGCTTGCAGTTTACCTGGTGCACTATCTGCCATTATTTGATTGATGACACAAGGTTCATTAAATTCTTGAAGTGCTAATGCATTAATTGAATTAAATAAGTGAGCAAAGCATTCAGAATTTTCATCACTGCAAATTAATGCCATACCAAATGCTTTAAAATGACGATTAGCATCGGTAGAGCCAAAGACAAGTAGGGATAAATTATTCCATGTTAATTTATAAGTTGCATCAACTTGTACAAATGTTGTTAATCGAATTTGTTGAAATAATTGTTTTGTTGTAAAAAAAACGAACAAATTATTAATATCATCAATATTATAGAAAGGAACAAAAGTAGAATGCAAGTCCTTACCCTTTTTATGTTCATAGCACCAGTTTCGTAGATCATAAGCCGAAAATATTTTGGGTCTATCTTTCCTTCGTTCATATATAATTACATTATGTAATTTAGCTTCATTAATTGAAGTTTGTGAATAATTAATAACTATTGATTTTCTAATTTGAGTCTCTGTCAATCCACATTTCACATAATTAGACACAGCTCGGCGTATTGGTGATGGTAATCTCGTTGTTGGATTTCGTTCACTTTCTTCATGTTGATGGTTATTTCTTGACATAATGTTAAATTGATTGCACATTGTTGTCTGCCACAGTAATTTTTATTTCAAATAGACATAATGGATATTTTCTGTATTGGCTGCATCTAAACGAGTACTTGGTCTCGTTTTTTAAATCTGATCGTCGATATTGGCAAACATTATATATTGTTGTTGTGAATTCTTTTGCTTTTTCATATGATTTAGCAATATATAGCATTGTCCATTCGTTATTTGATATTTTTTATGGAATGATTTTTTATGATAGAACATACTTTTAAAATGCTTTTAGTTAATGAGATCATTCAGATGGGATGAGATTATTCCTATTTTTAACTTAAGCTTGTTTCATTAATTAATCAACGTTCTCGATCAATATGTGATCTATCACAAATATATACTAATATCCTATAAAAGTAACATATCGCACATTTCTCGTTAATTATTTTGGTGATCAAATGTATATTTTTTTGGTGCTCATTTCACAAGAAAAAAATTTGGTGATCATTTGTACCTTTTTTTGGTGATCAAATATATATTTACGCCTGTTTTTTTATTTTTGTTTTTTCATTAATACACACACATTGATATGATATATTGCTCGATTTAGTTCGACATGTTTGATCGATATGATGATTTTGAAAAAGGTCCTATATGCCTGTCATTGATTTGTTACTCATTTGTGCATCTACTAAGAGCTTTTCATTCTCTTTCATTTCTTCTATTTCTCGATGTCCAAAATAGAAGTGAACACATAAGATGACCACCCAATTGATATATTCTTTTTCTCAAACTACAAGCATGTTGACCATATAACCAGTGTGGGAGTTAAAACTGTTTTTTGAAAAAGTTAAAAGTTGAGAAAATCGGAAAAAGTTAAAATGGTTATAACTCGAGTTATAACTTTCAACCACGG